CTGTGAATACTGACAGAACTGACCCATCCTCGGCTCAGGGAGTAATCTGGATTGTCGAAGTGGATTCCTTTATCGGTTTAGGTTGGCTGTACATACTAGCTCTCGAGGTGACCAGATAGGCTTCGATAGAGAGGGGTTTTCCCCTTGGCTCCATCTTCTCTCTTCCCCCCCCCCGGCCCCCACACCCATGAATGGCCAAACCTTAAGTCAGCGAGGGAAAGTGGGCGGTTCGCTACTAGACTCCTACTTCAGGAATACATAGCAAGGCGCGCGGCGGTGATGGTCGGTCTTTGTTTCATCGTCGGCCCATCATCCCTTGATATAACCCGCTGTCATTATTGGGGTGAGGACTGGATGGGGGGAAGAGGCGTGGAGGAGGATGAACGAAGGATCCACTAACTTAGAGTGTCGGAGCTGAACTACCTTACCTAGAAACCAATCTCCAATTTCCCCCCCCCCCCTACTCGCCCAAAAAGCCTCACAAGTCATAATTCATTATACTGGTCAATTCGTTCATTCAATCGTGGATGTGGATAAAACGTCAGATCTGTCTGGACCATGTGGATTTCGTCCACGCTCATCGAAAAAGGTTTGCTCAATGATGACAAGATAAAATTAGAGGATGTGTGTGCGAGAGAAAGAGGGAACACGCAAGCTCCACAAATAGAGAGCTACGCGCCTGCAAGCCACATTTTACGCCTCGTTGCTGGTCACTCTGCTGCAAATGGCAATATCGTCAACAGACGACGACGCATAGCTATTGAATCGCCTCGGGTGTAAGTATAGCTTATTTCCGCTTATCAGACCGAGATGAATAGCCACGGTGGAACGGGCGGAAGGAAGGGGGACGGGGGGACGGGGGGAAGGGGGGAAGGGGGTGGTCGACTAGGGCATGGAGAGAGCATGAGAGCTTGTACCGACCCGCTGCTAGGTGGTCCTTGCTCCCTTGTTTGGGGGGGGGGTGGTGGGGGAGGGTCAACTCAGGCTGTCAGCTTGTCAGTCGAGCTATTCTATTGACTGACTCATAGAGCAATCAGAAAGCTCCAGTATCCCGTACAAGGTCCTCACAGGAGCTCGCGTCGCGGGGAGGGGTGGGCCAGATGGTTTTGGAAGCCCGCCACGTGGGGAAATGGCACCTCCGGAATCTCCCTTGGCCGACGATAAGTCCTCCCCTATGATGCGATGCGATGCGATGATACTGATCGGAGTTAGAAGATCGTTGGCGTTTCACCTGGACGGCCTCGAATTAGCACATCATTAGAGCCGCGGTGGTAAGCCGTGGCGTTCTCGCTTGCGATTGTCCCCCCTATCCTAAGATTTACGACAGAGCCAATGGTCATCGCCAAAGATATCATCTGTTCATTCTTGGTGGACGGTGAATCATCCCAGTACCGATGACAACTACTGCCTAATCGGGCCAAGTAGAAGTTATTGGGGATACTAGTAATCCGGACCGAGGAACCAGGGCGGCATCGTAGGAAGAACCATGACCCACCTCCCGGTTCTCTCACCCGATGAAATCGATGGAGGGATGGATGGATGGATGATTGATTGATACCTTACCAATTTCTCGAGGGAGAGGGCTGCTCTGGACTAGCTTCAAATGTTCCCCATGCTTGGCCAGAGGCAGGGAGGGGGAAAGAGGATTGTTGCATCGCCTGCTAACATTTGACTTATCCCTTGCTGATAATTTCCCGGCTGGTGTTGCCTGGTCTGTCATTAAGTCTTAAGTTATGGCAGCCGTTTCCCTCTTTCGGCTGTTCCCCGTGTCGCTTCCTGTTCGGTACGCGCTGCGGGCGGTCAGTTCCGCTCGAGAACCAGACAGGTAGGCTGCCGAAAGTGCCAGTCATGGACTTTAATTCCAGCTCGATCGCGGAGACAGAGATTAGCAGTCGATGGACCTTGGTTTGGGTGTGGATGGTCTGGCACCAGTTTAGATGAATTACATACTTGGTAACTTACTACTCCGGCGTATGTACGGAGTGCGTAGTATCATTATTAAGTTGCCGCCAGGATTGAACGAGGACCAGAGGAGTACGGGTTATTTGATGTCAGCGAGTGGAAAGTAACGTGGTGTGTCTTGGTACTGTACAGTAAGTACACTTCCAGAGCCACCTTGGCCTAGCTTGTTGTTGGTCCACCCGCTAAGCATACCAATGTAATGTGGTACGGGGCGGTCTGTACCCCGACTTACTGCTGGCTGTATTGGAGTGAGTAGGTATGCTGTGATACTTCTCCAGCTCCCATTTATTGTCTGCAGTTATACGATGAACACCTCAGTCCTATTGAAAATGGATGCCATTGTTTTTCACCTCTGCCAATGATCTGTTCAGGGATCTACCGAGACTACCAGAGCACGTTTGTCTGGGTTGTTGGAAGTCTGCGATCTGGAGATTATTCATATCCAGCCAATGTCTACTACAGAGCGAAGCAAGTACTGTGTATGTATGTACTCGTAAGTAAGTAAAGTATGGAAAGCATTACATATCGATAAGTAATGTTACGTACTAGATGCGGTCGACGACTCCAATTACTAGTGTCGGGATACAGTATCTGATACTAGTGCTGAAGTCCAGATTGCATCGTCGGATGCAGGCTGCTAAACCATCTGCAGACTAGTGGGTTTGTTCCAAGGCCAGCCTGCGGTCTTGAGCGTATTTATTGGTCGAGTCTATATACTAGCCTCTCAGCATTCTAAGGCACAGGCGGATCCGGTGGGGATTTTGGTGTTCCCCTCTCTCTCTCTCTCTCTCTCACTCACTCGGTCTCTCCCTGAGTCCCTCCTGGAGACCTGGTCTTCTCTTTCCACCCAATTCCCTAAACCAACCTAGTCCTGGTTGGAGAAAGACCGTTCTGTAGGTTGAGAGTGCAGAAAGAAAAATAGCAACTACGTAGGCACTCTTTCAATTCTTAGGTAGTCTTGGTCGCTATCCCACAAATGATCTAGGACATGTGTTCGTTCCTGCTGCACTCGTCGCAAAACCGCTCTTGCAAGTGATAATCATAATATTGATCTACGGCAGATACGGACCTCACTCACTCACTCACTCAGCCTGCCTTTGCCCCTAGTCTCAAAGGTTGGGTCTCCCAGCGACCTCAGCTTAGGCAAGTGATTTACCCCAGGCATCACGACAGCGGGCCCCAGTCGACGCCTCCTCGGCCTGTCATTTTAGGGGGATTTCCTAAATTAAAGTGCCCACTGCTTGGTGGGCATAAGGAGACAGCCCACCCCACGGCTTACCTGCGTTGTTCGGTATGTATATGTGTGGGAATGTACTCCGTAGGTACAGTATCTGCATGTCTGTACGAAGTACTCTGTACTTCGATCATAAGGTATGGGCTTTTCAGACTAATCAGGTCGTCGTTGCCTTGCTGGTTGGGAGCACTTATCGGGTTGATGTTTTCAAGTTGTTTTATTATTATTATTCTCTGGCTGGCGCTCTTCTGCAGATTCCCTCTCTACCTTCCCGGAAGCTATCTCTCGATCTTCTTCATTGGAGTCTTGGGTCGGGTGGAAGTATGAGAAACAGTCGATCCAACGGAGCTACTAGCTATTCTAAGTTACTTTCATTGGGGTTCTTATTGGGGGTTCCCTGGTGGGAACCGATGGATATGTAATCAACAAGCCTAGTGACTAGGTACCTCCCAGGTACCGTGAGTGAGGTATGCGGCGTTAAAATACGCGGCGAGAAACGAAGAGATGGGGAGGCGAAACATGAGAATTCGCGAGAGTTTTTTTTTTTTTTTTTTTTTTTTTCCTTTCTCTTTTCTTTCCCCAGTAAAAAAAAGATAATAATAATTCTGAGCTAAATTAAATGCAGAAGGGGAGGGGGGGAGAGAGAGAGAGAGAGAGAGAGAGACAGATGAAAAATAAAATCGACTGAGATGAAATAATAATAAGACTAAATAAATTAGATGGAGAAAAATAAAATATTAAACAGACTACTAAGTCACTTTCACTAAATCAACTAGACTAACTAAATGCTAACTTACTACTTTACTACTAAGCCAAGCTCTCTCTAATGTTGTTGTTCTGCTTGTACTTGTAGGGAACTGACAGACTGTCAGCTCCTTTCCTTTCCTTTCCTTCGTGCAGCTGCTCCTTTCTACGTAGAGTATTTCTTGCTCTTGACTCCCAACCTCAGATCTCTCTTCTACTTTTTTATCAACTGGCTTTGCCTCTCTCCAGTCAACCAGGGCTCCTCTTTCAAATTATCCCCACTCCACTCCCTCCTCCACCCTGGGCCGGTCCGCTTGTACCTGGCGAGAACAGAATTCAAGAATTGCAGCAGCTGCCCTTGTACCACCATCGCGTTGCAACATCGTCCAAATCCAAGAGCCTTTTTGGAAGGGCTCTGTCAAGGAGATCGCTTCTGTGGTTGCTGTTGTCATCGATAATAATTATCATTAGATCCGTTGTTTCCAATACGAAAGGGACACGGCTCGTACTATTATTATTGTTATTATTATCGGCTACTCTGGATTCGGCCACCACCACCACCACTACTACAACTGGGACTATTACTTTACCTCCTCTTCCTCTTCCTCTTCCTTCAGCTTATTATAGTCCAGCCTCAAAGGTTGCTGGCCTGGACTGCTCGCTGCGCTTACCCTTTTGATTCATCATTCAGCCTGCGACTTGGCTGTCAAATGACTGGTTTGCCTTTCGCCGCCAATGATTGTTAGCGGCGCTGCAGACTTTCATACTTAATTCGCTGCGACATTCCTGCTATATCCGCCTCCTCAATCTCCTTCCTCGCTTTTCTTCTCTCACTTCCTTTATCTTCAACTCTTTCCTCCAGGCTCTCCAACTCTCTAACCCACAAAGTCTCCAACGCCATCCTGTGTCTTCCTGTATACGTTTAGCCATACCCTGCTTTGACCACCAATCTACCTCCTTCTCACTTCTACCCTATCACCCCGTCGATTCCTCGCCGTTATCGCGGCCCACATCTCCCGTGACACTACACGCCGCGGCAAACATTCGTCCTGCAGCGACCATGGCACCCGGCAGTGGACGCGACTTTAATTGCACTTGGCCAAGCTGCAATAAGGTATCTATTTGGTTCTGCCTGTGGCTCGTGCACATTCAAACATGACCTGAGCCAACCGGATGTACGAAATATACTGACGATCATGCCTAGTCCTTCAACCGCAAATCCGATCTCTGCAGGCACTACCGCATCCACACCAACGAGCGGCCTTACCACTGCAATCATGAAGACTGCAAGAAGAGTTTTATCCAGCGGAGTGCCCTGACAGTACATGTGCGGACGCATACTGGCGAAAAACCCCATTTGTGCGACCATGAAGGATGCGGCAAAGCTTTCTCGGATGTGCGTGGTGCTGATCATTCCCTCTTGCCGGACATCAAAGCTGACCATTCTAGTCATCGAGTCTGGCCCGTCATCGAAGGATCCACACCGGGAAGCGTCCCTATATATGCCAAGAGCCTACCTGTGAAAGGAGGTACGTACAAATCATGAACGCCGTGAAAGCTAGCCTCTGACCTTCGACAGCTTCTGCCGCAAGACTACATTGACTAAACACCATGAGAAAACACATGGTGCGGCCGCGAGCCGCACGTCATCTGAGGACCCTGCTTCTGACCAGGAGTATCATCCGCCGGTCGCCATCTCTGCGCCGCATGAGTCGTACATTCTTCCACAGGCGCACTTCGCCTTCACGACAACGCTGCCGCCGCATCACAACTACTACCCGCACCAGAATGTACAGATCACGTCCGTGCCCATCCATGAGCAGTCCCCGGTGGTTGCCACCAGCGTGCCGGTCACGTTGTCGGCTGACATTCCTCATGTACAGCAGCTATACATGCACTACGTCCCGCACCACCCGCACCCGCAACAGCAGCATCAGCAGCATCAGCAGCAGCATCAGCAGCACCAGCAGCAGCGTTACGATTACCAACGACATGGATACATCCAACCAGAGTACCAGCAGCCCTACAGTCAGGCCCCGGTCGTTGAGTCTACCCCTGTGACGGCAACTTCCCAGGAGTCAGACCATGATGAATACAAGCACACTCGGTTTCTGAGCCAGCCTGAAGGAGCTGACTGGGGGTTCCTCGGTGTTGGCTGAGAGGATTTGGCTCAAATAAAATTAGCCGCTCATTAGATGATATGAAGGCTCGTTTCTTGGGTTGGCCCGGTGCATCACTTTGCATTCGGCAAAATCGATGGTGTTGAGGACCGCCTGCCGAGCTTTTCGAGATATCAGGCTCCACTCCACCCTTCATACAAAGACGTCCACGACCGTTGTCACGAGTTTATATTTTTGGTTTCTTTCTTTGGTCCCGTATCTTAGCATTTTACAGTTAAGCCTATCGTTGCCAATCAAGTTTGATCCTAATGGGAGGGAGTTTGTCGTCAGACGGGCTTTGAGGAGGCCTTCTGTCGTACTTTTGTTCTTTTCTTGATACCTTGTTGCGAACTCTGAGAGTGTTGTCATCTGATTTCCGGCATGGCCTGGTTTCTGCCCTGATGCCCGATGGCGAGCTGTTGCCGCCGAAAGAGGAGTGGAGGAGGAGGAGGAGGAGGAGGAGGAGGAGGAGGATTGCCACCGATTTGGAAATGTGGCTGCATGTACTTATTTTGAAAGAATTGCTTAACTCCCCACATAGCCTGTCCCTTGGAGCTAGAGTGTGGTGACGAGGCGGCGCACGACGGTCGCGCAGCGGTGAGGTAGGTCTTTCGGACGATCGGTCGATGCGGATAGCTTGATTTGGTAGGGGTAATTTGAGTCCTCCACGGTATGAATCGCCGTGTAGCACCGAGAAGGCAACGAAGGCTGCACGATGTGGTGCTACCCCTGGTTGAGTGGTCACAGCTTTTTTTTTGACGGCGGCGCTGTTAGTCTGTAGCTGTCTGCAGCTGTACTGGCACTACTGTGCAGCCCACGTCAGCCAAGGATCGACGGGATGCTGAAACGGCTGGCGGGCTTCGGGGCTCCACCAGATGGCGTCCGGAGGGCCTCCGTAGTACTGAGTAGTAGCGAGAAAGATAGGCGGGAAATCGGGGGAGAGAGAGAGAGAGAGAGAGAAAGAGTGCAGCCTGCCCAGTTTTTTTTTTTTTTTTTTTTTTTTTTTTGTGCTGTTTATTTGGTAGTCGCATATACCCCAACAGCCGCGACAGACTCAGTTGGTTAGTTAGTTAGGAATTGACCACACCACACCGCACCACATCACCTACCGTTCCACTTCCCACGATGTATAGAAGCCCAGCACTAAGCCCGGGGTCCCGTCCCGTCAGTTGTCAGTTGTCAATTGTCAGATGTGCCACCCCCCCCCCCTCCCCCCTCTTCCACCCCCTCGGGGAATTCTGGTAGAGATGTCATGTTTCAATAACCGAAGGACAATAACTAACGCCAGCCAGAGCGCCACAAGCCCATCGTGGGAACACACCCACCCGTGGCGAGCGCCTCTCCCGATCGAACCTTATACCGAGATATTATGCAATATGCTCTCTCTCTGACCATTCCCCGTCCCGGCATGACATCTCACTCCCGCCTCCGATTTGTCTACTGTTCTATTGTTTATGTATCTCGCTCACGATCTACACCTATCTGTCACCTATCTACTAATCCAACCTATTGATCACCCCCCCCCCCCCATCGACATCAAACAACGTTCCAGACCCTCACTAGGCGGCAAAGCCCCAAGAAAATCGCATGTGAAAGACGAAATCGGATATCCAAGATTGATCATAAAACAAGGTGGTGGTGCTGTACCGTAGTGACGGGGGATATTCTTGATTTGGGGAAGCTGACTTACTACCTACCGTAGTGTAGACTACTAACTGTATCAACAACCCGTCTACCCATATCTATCCATCTTGCCTTTCCGCGGCGCCTCTATCGATCTATCTACTAAGTACCAGGTAGTGGTAGGGGGGTGCGGATTCAACGAGCCTATCAGAACAGCCATGGGAAATAACTCCGGACGATACATCGTAGGCCCGGTTCTTCAGGGATGTTCGACCGTCGAAGACCAAACCCTAGGACGGTCTACTGTTCACGCAAGTGGGCCCCTCGGGGGATTCCTGATTTCATTTCAGGGAAGGATGCTTCTGAACCAGTGGGATGTAGTTTCCGCGTGGTTTGGTCGACGCACCAGAAAACAGGATTCGATTTGAGGGCCGGAGGGGGTGATCTTTACCCCTTTCTTATAAGTTGGTTTTGGGGCTGGGAGGGGAGAGGGTGGTGGGTTTGGTTTGATTTGGTTTGGTTTGGTTTTTGGGAGAGAGGAGGGCCGGTCCGAGACTAACGGGAGGGGGTCACTTCACTTCACTTCACTTTCATTCGTGGGTCTTGATTGAATGGGCCGAAGAATGAAGATCAGAGATCGTACGTAGGTTAAACAATGGGTTTATGGGTAGAGGGAGGGATTGTCGCAGCGTGTAGAATAGGGAAATTACAGTGAGTGGTTACATTGTTCTCCAGGGTTTACGGATGGAGTGGATGATGACGACGATGCGATGCGATGCCTAGTAGTATGCTTCTGGGAGGGATTAATTCTTAGTCGCTGGACTATACGGATGGATACTACTCCAGCTGGTTGACCAGAGGATGCAAGTTACCTAGTAGGTAGTTAATTAAACCCAATCCCACCATCGTTACTGGCTAGCTTCGTCTCCCCGATGTTCAAACGAAATTACTAGGTAACCTCCTCCTCCTCTTTCCGTCACTGCTGGTGCTGCTATCTAGGCATGCGATCAGTGAATTAGTCGCAGGCTTGCAGCACCTCTTGCATCCCGGGGCAGCCGCCGCCGCAACAACTCGACCGTAGCACCTCACCTCACCTCACCACAAATTGAACCGTTGCCAGTTCCATCATCCATTAGCGTGATGCGGTGTGCCCTATTGCACTGCACTGCACTCTTGATTTATTGCGGGATAAGTAACGTAACTTGAGCTACAGCAGCTGTACTGCACTAGTCGCCCTCTCTCCTCCCTCCCCCTTCTGGGTCTACGAGCTGGGAACTGGAACCCTGTATCAACAACACAAAAGTGACAGATAGACCCAAGTCAATCCCCGTCCAGTCCATAGGGTCAGGTTCTAGGCCTACCTACCCTCTTTAGTTTCTGGAGTCTTCTACGGTTCGTATTTTTTTTTCCTGGGGCAGTGGCCATACTTGGATTGTGTCGGGACACATCTAGACTCCAGAATCGTGTTTATGGAAATCGATAGAGCGCGAGAAAGAGGGGAGGGAGGGAGTTAGTCTGGGTGACTGGGGCTAGAAGGTTAGCTTTAAACTTACTCGAGTCGTAGTTGTAAGTTAAATACAATGGGTAGGTAAATTTGACCAATGCCTCGGGGAGTTACTTGGAAAGTTCTTGGTATTTGCATCCTACTGCCACTCGTGTTCTAACCTGTCGTTACGAATTGGTCTGGGAATTTTGGTTGCGCCTGTGGGGGGGGGGGGGGACGGATGCGGGGAAATTGAAACAGTGGACGGATGGGATAGCCGATGGGCATCGCATCGGGCGATGAGCGATGGCGATGCGGCGCAGATGCGATGATGATGATGGTGGTGGTGGTGGTGGTGGTGGTTTTTTCCCTCCTTCTCCACTTCGTGAGACAGCTAGTCTCTTCGTCATGGTTGGGAATCGGGAGGTGTTTGAACTAGCTCACTCTGTAGGTGAAGCTGTTGATGCCTTATGCCCTGTTCTGAGGCCTAAGGATTCTACTAAACTCTTGGGGGTGTTGGCAGTTTGTCAGTCGGTCAGTGTCGCCATGTGATCCCGAACAACATGACGCAGACGTCAATCGAAAGTGCCAACCAAGCTAGCTGTTTTGGACTTCTTGTCTCGCCAATCTCCCTCCAGTACTCCGTACTGATTTCAATCTTGAACTACAGGAGTTACGGACGGTCTTCCATATTCACAATGGAGTTTGTCGAGCAGACTGCTCCGTACAAACAATACCTACCAATATCCGTACCACATATGATTGCGATCTCAGCCGAATCACTATCACACCGGCGCAGACTTTCAAGTGAGGTTGTTTGCCGCAGAGTGCTGTCAGTAGAAGGCGTTCCGTCGCTATCGATTACCATGGACCCTCGCCAATATCAAGCCTCCCTTCTCCTCCGTCTCACGTATCTATTCCATCCCGTGTTTGCTGTCCCATCACCCCTTTCCACCCTCCTGGTGTCCGTAAACTGCCATGGAGTTGTGTTTTGATGATAATCAGGCAACGAGAGTAGGAGTGGTGTAGCCTCGGCCCAAGCCTTCCCGATCGAGATATACGAGCCAAAGGTCGTCAATCGCCCTAGTCCTCCATAGTCTTCCGCAGTCGTGTATTGCTCCGGCACGGCAGAGCTATATCATTGAGTTTGCCGGGAAGAAGGAGAAAGACAAGGCAAAGGCAAAGGCAAAGGCAAAGGAGATGTGATGAAGTGATAAGAAGGGGGTCGCGTTGCAGATGTTTGTGGGTGGAAGGTGGTTGTTGACTCCGGTACAGCCCGCCTGTTGTGACTTCCCGCCTCGCTTGGAGACAATCGGGGCTGTGGACAGAGGGAAAAATGGGAATTAATCTACTGGGTGACTACTTACTACCTACCAACTCTTCTGATAGTTCGAGTGCGGACTACCTCCGTCGTCTATCTGTACTGTAAATGGGCGATGGAGACGGAGATGTTACATGTCGTATGTCAATGTCTCACTCATATCCGCCATCCTTGCACAGTGCGTGCGGGCATGCACCCATCTCACAGGAGCTTGTACTGTACCTAAGTCTACCTACTCTTCCTCCTCCCTTTTCCCCGCCCTAACCATCCAAGCCCCAAAATAAGCAAATTGGATTGGAGACCTCCGATCATACAGTATCCTCTTGTCGCAGTATGGTCATGATCCATGTTTGCCTAATCCCATCGAGGCGATCGGAGATGATGATGCTGCTGCTGCTGCTGCTAGCTGCCTGAAGACCTCCATGATGGGAAAATTGGGTTGAGGTGCTGATATGTACATACTCCGTACAGGATGTAATAATGATTGATGCTATGGCGATGGGCGAGGAAGAGAAAAGTACCATGCATCATACCATTCCCGTTGTTACCTGCCCCCTTGTCTGTCGGCAGCAGCAGCAGCAGCAGCAGCACGACTGGGTGAATTGCTCTGCGAACAGCTGTTGTGTGACGCTTGAATCTGTCCGTCTCTGCCTCTTTCTTGTGCTCAGCATGTATCGAGTACCTCTAAAGCATCTCCCAGTGTACCGTTTCGCCGCGTTCAGTCGCAACCCTGTCTGTTGCCAAGTACTCAGTAATCACTGCTGAGTGTAGAAACAGTACAGAGTGAAGCAACAGACAGGGAAAAGGGTTTCAGATCCTACTGCAGATTCACAATACAATACAATCAACCACTCGAATTTTTTGCTTCCTGTGCACCCCTAAATCGACCATCCCCCTCACCACCAACAAAACAGCCATCATCAACAATTCCAACAGCAACTGCCCTAGAGTGTACGTACAGTACTGTACATACTTCCTCCCAAAGAGGCAAAAGGCCAAAAACCCCAAGTATGACGCCCACAACGCCCATAACGCCCACAACGCCCGCCCCCGCGCGCCTCATCTGATCCATCATCTCCGGCTCAATTTGAAACTGACACTTTTTGTGACCCCAGACCTGGAGTTTGGCGTTTGGGGTATTCTTACTTTCACGTCCCGCCACCGACTCGACTCTATTCCGCAGCCATCTCAACTCAAAGTTCGTCTTTCTCCGCGGAGAACAAGGGTCCCCATTTTCCCAATTGGAACGTCCTAAGGTACTGAGTTTACAGAGGGGAGAGATGGCTTGCGGTGACATGCGCTACTTTTTCTGAAGTACAGTAAGTTACTTAGTATACCCCACGAGATCCGAATGCACGAAAAATCTCACCCAGCGAGCAGAAAACTCAATTCGAACCGAGTAGTAAGTGAACACTACCTGCACTACATTAAGAGGGAACCTTGACATCGACATTGACTTTGCCGGGAGGTTCAAGAACTACCTACTACCTACGGTCTCCTGACTTCCTCACTGGGGGATGGTGACTCCCCTTCCGGCATCTCACTCCCGCTTACTGTTGCACAAAGGGGGGCGGGTTGATGATTCGGGGGTTACGCAGACCCTGGGGTAGAAGTTGTCGAATCACGCAGAAAAGAACCCCTGAGCCCTGGGCCCTGAGAGACGTTGGTGGTGGCGAGGGGAGTTTTCTGCGGGATTGTTCCACGAGCCTCATGGTTTGGAAGTTTGAGGTTTGATCTCGAGATCAGTGATGGGATGGGAGGGATGGGGTGGATATTTTCCGAGACTTTGTAGTGGGTTGGTGGTGGTGGTGGTGGTGGTGGTTGTTGTCGCTGAACTGTAGGTGTGGACTCTTCCCATACCCATAATGAAGATGTTGATACCAAGAGATGAACGTAGATATAGATATGGACACTGTACCTTTTCTCTCACTGGGCTGCCCTGTCTCTGGATCGCGAGGTCTATCTCCTAGACCTTCCTCGGATCAATCATATCTACCATCAATATCAACAACAACAAGTCAACAGAACTACAGCCCCAAGCACCACGCAAAGGCAAAGGAAGTAAGCTTACCCTTAATTCTCGTCCTCCTCACTCCTCACAACCATCCAATATCAACCACCCACTAATCCTACCAGCCCATCAACACATTGTCCCGTACCTATCCAGCTAATACCCACCGGAGCCCAGCCCATCTCCAGAGTTTCAAAACCCCATCACCATCGCACAAACCACAAAAAGCCAAACGGCCCCCACAAAGTCAACGTTACCAACTCCACCAACCCCGACATAGAAACACCATGTTCACCCAGTACCCATGCCATTTCTCTCTCTCTCCATCTCCCTCTCCTCCGAAGACAGAGAAGACAACCCCAATGATGACCCTGAGAATTGTATCACCATCGGAACGTATCCCTCCAAGCATCAGCATCAGCATCGCATCACCAAAGGTCAGGTCAGGTCAGAAGACAGACACGCGCAACTCGGCGCAAAATGGACACCATCCACTCCCCATCCACAAACACCACCAAACTCCCAGAGAGCGAAAGCTAAAGCGAAAGCGAAAGCGAAAGCTACACAAAGCAACAACATAAATACCACCACCACTGCCTCTTGCTCACAAACCAAACAACAACCAACACAAACCCCAAACCCCATAGCTATATCTTTCCAAACCCTCACCCCAAAAACACAAGGCAGAATGCGGTTCATCATCCCCCTCACCCTCCTGCTCACCTCGCTGGCGCTCGCGGCGCCGACCGCCGACGCCGAAGCGGATACGGCTGATGCTGCTGCGGCGGTGGTCGACGATGCGCCCGCGGACGAGGCCAACACCCAGTGGTGTCGGCGCGGGTATGACCAGTGCATGAACAATTGTCATCGGAATCATGGGGGGCAGCGGTGTTATCATGTAGGTTTTTCGTTTCTCATCCGGGGTTGTTTGGGGGTTGGGTTTGGGGAGGTGTTAAATGGGTGGAAGATATGCTGATGATTTCTCTCGCGAGGACCACCCCTTGTGGTGGTTGCGGGGGTTGATGACTAGGCTTGTTGGGTGCATTACTGCCAGTGATTGCATTGCGGTGCCGCTTGCTGGGAGGGAGGGAGAAGATTGGGAGTAGGGGTTGAGGCTGAGGTTGAGATGAGGTTGAGGTTCGGAGGAGAACGTCTCACTGGAGAAACGCAGGGGAGGTTGTGGCTGGTGTGGAAGGCAGGGGGGACAGAGTGTCTATCATTGTTGACGTCGACTGAAGGATCATGGAATATCCAACTACTGTCATTCATTATATATAGCCTAACCCACCAATGAAGAAATTGCGCAATCACTTCTCGAATTGAGCCCTTTCTGAAGCTGACTACTGGCTATCTACATTACAAACGAGTTCACTAACCCAATCACATCCACAATTACCATCACCGTCCCCGCCAGTAGGAACCGCGGGCAAAAGATGGCGAACAACATCAGATGTCGTCGGAGAAGACACGCCCAGATGGCCGTGGCGGCGGCCCAGAGGGTGTAAGCGGTACCATGTGCGAGGATCATCTGGGCGCGGGCTGCCGTGCTCTCTCGCGAAGGAGACGCGCCAACCGGGGTGAAGAAGAACGGAACAGCGCACGCCGCCAGAATCGGCCCCGCGAACGTGTTCACCCCGACCAGCAGCGGGGACCATGGATACACCACGTCCCGAAAGCCAGTGTACGCGGCTTTCCACTGGATAGAGGCAAAGGTGGCGTTGTGGCCGGTCGTGAAGAAGTAGAATGAGCCCAGGAGAGCGGCGATGGTGGGTCCGACTCGGTGGCTTGTAGTGCGTGGGAGCAAGAGGAGTTGGGTGTAGAGGCATGCAAGCAGAACACCGCTGGTGGGGGGACTCACCAGGACACATACTAGCAAGATGGCAGTGGTGAGAATGTGTGGTTTATCGTAGTGATGAGAGGGCAGCAAGACGGATCCAAGGCCAAATATACTGGCGAGCAGCACGATTCGAGCGATCACTATACATATATTCTTGGAGGTGTAGTCTGTGATGATGTTGGAGAGCCAGCCCTGCTCGCTGGCTGTCTGAAGTGTCCAGAACGGAATGTGGAGAAAGAGTGCAGCAATGTAGGGTGTGTTCCACGTGTGCTTGAATCTATCTCTCAAGTGTCTGTTTGCCGAAAGTATAACGAAGACAGTCAGAAATGGGGCGAGGATACGCCAGGGGACATAGTTCTCGAGTCGGTAGAAGGTGGTCCGGCACGAGGGCAGTTGTTCTTCTCGACACAGGCGGCTATAGGAGGCGAGGCGGGTTAGTAGCAGAAACACAACGGAAGAGGTTGGGTGGGTGGCAGAGGCCAATGTGCAGATCCCGAAGCTGGAGAGGAAGAACAGCAGGATCTCATCTTCCCAGATAGTGTACGAGTTTGATGCGAAGCCAGCCGCGAGAGCCAGCGGAAACAACATGGCCTGCAACTTCCCAATGTTGAATCCGGGTTGCCAGTACCGGCGCACAGCATTGTAGTTAGCCCCGGCGATCAAACCGGTCAGACTGGCTATGGTAGCGCCTAAGATGAGACTCTCGACAACGTGATATGCAGGGTCTGCATAGACGAAGTGAGCCGCTGCAGCCAAAACACCCACCACGCTCCCAGCCATTGTCGCCTTCGGCTTGATTCCCGGCCCACCGAAGCAAGACCCATCAACGAGAGCGCAGACCATTGCAACAACACACAGCAGCAGAATCACCATCCCCTCTACCATATTCAAGACGTTGAACTGCGCCCAAACCCGCCGGTATCCCCTTAACATCTCCGCCTGGTATTCCCTCAACCCCCGATAAGCCCGCTGCAACGAGCCCTCGTCCCCGAAATCTATATCACCCTGAACAAACCTTTCAATGCGGACCTCAACACCACCCCTATGACTCCCATAAAGCCTCGTGTACTCGGCATGAAACCGCTCCATCTGTGCAGCAGCTAGCGCATTCGCCCTCACCAACCGTTCCCAATCTATCTTCTCTTCCTGTTCATCGCATCCTCCGGAGCCGAAAGCAAACACCTCTTCAATAGGCCTCCCAAGGTTATTGAACGGAATCGGCACTCCAAGCAGCAGCGCCAGCGTCGAAACGATATCCACCTGGGGCACCGCTGCTCCCTCCTCACCATTGTGATGATGGTGGTCACCACCACCACTGACCCTTCTCCCCACAAACGTCCGAGGAGAATATAACCACACAGCAGCTAGAACCTCCTCCAGTGTCTCCCCGCCATGATTGCCATTCTCATCCATCCCATGGTCCCCCATGACGACCAAAAGGGTCTCCTCGTCAGCATCGTCTAGAGCCGTCACCACCTCGCGCACCACCGCATCCATCTGCTGGAGTTTATTCCGCATGAGCGGATGCGCCGCCCCGAACCGGTGGCCGACGTGGTCGACCCCCAGAAAGTGGCCGATGATCACGTCCCATTCGCAGCGGAGGGTGTCATTGCGCAGGAGGGGAAGGAGGTGGGTGGTGACGCCGGTGTCGACGGTGTGGAGGTCTTCGACGACGAAGGAGGGGAAGGGGTGGGAGAGGTGTGGGAGGAAATGGTCCGGGTAGAGTTTGAGCCAAGTGTCGTCGCCGAGGTGGACGAGGCGCCGTTGCTTAGGATTGTGATCCGAGTGTGGATTGGTTTGCGCGGTGCTGGATGAGGGAGAGGAAGATGAGGGAACCGAGAGGAGCTGGTCGAGGAGGTTGTCTTCAGTGAGGGCAGAACCAGCGAAGTTGGAGCCGGCTTCAATGAAGGTCGGGAGAGTGCCTGTGGTCAGAGCTTTCAGGCGTTGGAGGGTGGTGGTCGGGGGGTCAGCAAGAAAGGGGAGGAGGAGGGCGTTGCGCGGTCTCTCGCTTGCGAGGGTGTGCAGGACGGTGAGGGCATTATGGTATGGCTTTTCTTCCGCTGCTTGGATGGAAGGAGAGTAGGGGATGGTAAAGTCGTAGCGCAGCGCGTCAATGATCAGAATGAGAGCTTTCTTGAAGGTTGGCCGGAGCCAACAACCACCAACATCTCCATGGGCGGAAGGCCAGAGAGCTCTCGGAGGCTCATCGCAGGCGCTTCTGGCCTCCAGGATCTGGCGGGTCAGCAGAAACCCTTTGGTGAAAAAGTAGAGGCCTGCCAGATGCACCAAACTGGAAAAGTTCCAGCCACGACGGGTTAGCAGCTTTTCAGCGTCGGAGATGAAGTCGGTCAGGGAGTCCGGTGCCCCTCCCAGAGCTGAACTTACCAGACCCAAAGGAAGAACAGCGAGAATTGTCTGTGATGAAAGATGGTTGCTGTCGCCATCCTACATCAATGACGCTGTGACTGCATGGTATGGTGCAGGTGTTATTAGCATGTCCATGAGAAGTCTGTATCAAGTCAGTCAGTCAGTCCATCAATCAATTACCGTCACACAAGATGGAACCTTGTACGACATGCATGGTACTGGTAAGAGATCTGGTAAGAGACACCGGAAGTATATGACGGCCAAGTATGTATCAGTGGACGTACCTGTCATGTACCAGTCTAGAACTCTAGATGGAGATGGATCCATCTCTAGCCTGCTGGCTCGCTAGAGTCGCTACCAAAATCACAGCTTCGTATCCTAAGTCGTCCTGGAAAATCTTAACCAATTGAGGTAACTTTTGACGAGAACTGTCTTATCGACTTGTCGGTGGAGATTGTGTTTTTGATAGCTAAACGTTCACCACGGTGGAGTAAAGGATCCACAGCACAGAGTTTCTATCGATGGTAACATGGAGGTAACATGAAGCTAACCTGAGTTTCCCCTCTTTCAATCTACCTTCCTAATCGGTAGGGCAGGGATCATCAATTCAATACCGCTCGTAAAGAAAGATGCATCAAAAAGAGCTTGCAACTAGCGCATGGTCAAAGGAAAAGTCTCAGTCAAGCGAACGTGAAAGATACGGGGGAAAAAGAAAAGAAAAAAAAAAGGATATGAATATGTACAGTCGCTTTAATTGCAAGAGCAGAGAAAACAAAACATCAACACGTCATCCATTTCAGACTTGAATTGCAGGGTCATATCGCTGGCTTCACTACTCCAAAAGATCTCGACTAAGATGAGATCCAGCTTGGAGCAAATTGTATCCACTCTGCCCCACCATAAACAGGTAATTATCAGTCTCCAACACACAGCTTCTGTCCAATACAATTACCCCAGTGGGCTCTCATAGCCAGTCGAGTCTACCCACGGGCATTATACTTCTCATTGAAAGCGTTCACAGCTAGATCCGAATCAGCCCTGTACGTAGCAAGAACACCTCAGATCATCACTTACCAACAGCAATTTGCCGATAGAGCCAATTCCGCGAACTCTCGTCTTGCACCGGGATGAATGGACCATTAGCACCACCCTTGAGAGTTATGCTCATTCCAGTCCGCTCTTTGGAAATGGTCTGGATGTCCTTCAGGCGCATATCCCATTCCGTGCGGAGCTTCTTCGTGCGCACGAGGATGATCCGGTCGTAGGTCAACATGACCAGCATGTCTCGACCCGGAAGCTCAAGGTGCGCGATGTAGTCCTCGTTAAAGAACTTGCCGTCATCGGCCGTCTTGAGCCAGAACTGCCCAAGCGCTTCGCGCTGCGAGTACGGCCGGACGATGCCGTCGGTGCCAATGAAGCGTGTGAGGCGAACACGATCAAGGCCTTCCGCGTCGAAAACGGTGGTGGTGTTACGGACACCCTCGGCAAGGTCTACACGCATGTTAGTATCAACACATGTCTAACTGATGGGCATACATACTTGATGCAAGATCAAAGGCGCCGATGGCGGGTTTCGTGGCTAGGCCGAGTACACCCTTTCCGACACCCTTGAAGAAACCTTGGATGCCTTCCTTTTCGGCACCCTGGAGAGGGTGACGTGCGAGTCCTCCGATGCCGCTTGCCAGACTCGTTGCGAAGGCATTTCCACCAGCAGTAATACCATACAGAGCGTGCTTTGGTCGGTTTCGCGACTTGGACATTCGTCGCTGATCTTGGAACTCTTTGTCTAGGGTGGCGGCGGCTAGACCCTTGGACATACTTCCGGTGAGCTTGGCCATGCTGTCAGAGAAACCAAAGACAGACTTCTTCACAAAGCTGGTCGCACCCTTCGCGATGCCAATGCCCAGCTCTTGAGGTCGATCGGTCATAACAAGACCCTGGTAAGGCTCGTAGAAGATGGCAGCCACTCCAGAGCTGACATTGTTGAATAATCCGACGGGATTGCCCAAGAAATCAGCCGACCCCAGAACCACGTGCACCTGTCGTAAGAACTCCTGGGTGTAGTGACTCTGGATATTACTGACAAGAACCCCGAGAGAGACACGGGCATTTTCTAGCATAAGCGCGTTGAGTCGGATCGGTGCGTCGTTCACATTGCCCATCGACATAGTCATGACATGCACAAAGAACATCAGAGGATTGGATGGCTGCATGGTGTCTTCCGCATTCACGCGCTCGGTACGCATGAAAGAGATATCGAGTTGCATTGGCTGCAGGTGGAGGAGCTCGAAGTACACGTCTGAAACAGTGCCTTCCGTTTGCGGTTCTGGGATATTCAAATCCTCATCACAGAGCTTGCCCTCATGTTCTTCCGACCACGAAGCACCGGGTACCTTAACGAAGTCCAACATTGCGAAGATGAAGTCCTCGTCAAGCTCCAGTGTCATCTGCTGCACGAGAACCGTGGCATACTTGATATAAAGTACACCATAAGAGTCATCCTTCACACGAGTCACCATTGTGTGGAAGATCGGGTGTGCCTCCATTTCCTTGCCGGTCTTGGGGACCACACTGGGGTAGAGCAAGATTGGGAAAATACCACCATACAATTGGTTGTCGATCTGGATCCATTTGATGGTGGTATTCAAGGTCTGGTAGATTCTTGACTCCCGGAACTTGATGTCAATCTCGCGGAACGTCAGATACAGCAATTCCTTGAGGTTCTGGTTGATGAGAGAGATGCCGATTCCTCCTAGGCGAAGTTGAGCCTTGAAGTTGACATCCGAGTCAAGTTCCTTGACCTCAAAGCCGGTGCTCAAACTGCTCTGAGATGCCTGTCCCCTGTCTTTCTGCTTGTACATACTCTTAGACTGCTTGAAGTTGGACAACATCAAAGTCTGAGTTGGGCCGTCGGCAACGATGTTGATATCGATAATCTTCTGAGTCTCGCCATATTGAGTGGGCGGGATTCTCATGGGGATCAGATTACCAATCTCCGCTAGCCTAATATGCCTTTCTTTGCCCTTGCACGTCAGTACGAGAGACTTGTTCTTGGTAGCCGGATAGTCCCAGGCGTAAGGCATGATGCTGCGCGGAGGAAGTCGGTAACGTATCGGTCGCCAGCCATTCGTTCTGTCTTCCTCGTCTTCTTCGACGTTCGGATTCTTCAACTTAGTTAGCAGATAACCTTTCTGAATATCAATCCAAAGTACTCACAGCTTGATAGAAGATGAATTCCATGTCGCTCTCATTCCGCATAGAGAATGGCCAGTTCCGAGTCTCAAAGCTGAAATGAATGAAGAGCGTTGCACCTTCCATGACCACGTCGACTTTGATGAGTTTCTGACGCTGTTGGGCTTTTGCCAGTTTGACATGCACCGTTCCAATGTCCGCGATGTTGAAAGGAGAGGACCACTGGTTATTGACGCCCGGGAAGCACAGGCAGAGCTGTTTCTCCGCAACCTGGCGCAAGAAATGGAGAGGTACAAGCTCGCCACTCTTGAGATTGAGAACGTTCGATGAGCCAGGCTCACGGACCAGAATGTCTTCACTCAACTTGTTCTTCAGAACAAACCGGGGTGCGATTGTCACGACTTTGGTCATCTTGTATTTGCCCTCGCCCTCGGCGACAGAAACCCCGGAATGGAATTCGGATTTGCCATGTTGGTCTGGGAGAATGACCTCAAACGTGCTTCCAATGGCCTCAAAACTCTGGGGCTTACTCCACGCGGAGTCACCTATTCGCAGAATAGACCGGTTCTTCTGATCATCCGTATGGTAGGAATACATGTATGGGAGCGTACGTCCGCCATTCCTAGAATCGGCCCTCAATCCTTGCCCAGCAGCCGATCGGGCCGATTGCAGGAAAGCCTTGCTCTGGATCTCCATGGGCAAACCAGTCTTGTTCAAGATGAGGTACGGGCTGTAGACAGAGACCTTGAAGGCGCCACCACTGTCGGGCACTCTGAAATAGTGGAGTTTCAATCTCAGCTGGATACCTCGCTCATCCTTCAGAGACAAGGTATGCTCCCTCTTGAAATCTTGAGAGTTGCCATTGATGATTGCAAAGTCACTTTGCTTGAACACCGTATCCTCTAAGTCAACGCTGAGTAGCAATAGGTGAGAGAGCTCAACGACATGAACAGGGCTAACCCCACCCTTGCGCAGGAAATTCGTCCAGTCCTTTCTTGTGTTCTTGTCGTAAATGCGATACTTGAAATCGTAAGGAAGAAGGTTCTGAATCTCGACAGGCGCGAAGATCTTGATCCTCATGTAAGGATAGACGCCCGTGAGAGAGTCCCGATCATTGTAGCTAGCGTGCATCTGGAAATAGAAGGGAGGTGACTGCTGCCCGCCTTCACTCAGGCACTTGATAGTCCGAGTCGGACGACGTAGTAGGTCTTTCCAGTGAAGCTGCTCATTTGACCAGTCGTATCCGAACCCTTGATCGGGGCGGATCACAAGAGAATGCATGTAAGCTGCCCCGACCGGTGCAGGTCGCGACTCTCCAGGAAGGATTTTCTCGATCTTGAGCAAATGGCCTTCTTGGGGATTGAAAACGCCAAGCTCAACAGGGATCTGCGTGCTGTTTTCGACAACCAGCGGTGAGCGGAAGGTGATATACTTCACATTGTCGGTGCCTAACTTGACATCCACCAGGAGTCGATGAAGGACACCATCCTTCTTGGGCTTCAAGCTGTAAAGGATTTCACCTTCCCTAACAACCGGAATCCGGTTCACGCTTTCAAATCCACTTCCCTCGAGCTTGATGCCAACAAGCCCGGCATGCCCCTCAGGTGCAAGCGTCTCACGCATGGAAGTCGAGTCTTCGAAACGCCAAGGGTACTCCTCACCGTCAGCCAATCTAGCAGCCGGACCATCCTCATCCGCACCGATATCAGCCCAGACATGTAGATCGAAACCAGTATGGTTGCGAATCCGGTAGGGAGCATCAGCACCTCTCGGCTTTGAAAGAACATCCTCATCCGTGGAAAGGAACTGGAATGACTTCGATGCCAAAGCAATGGTGGCAGATGTAAGAGTGAGCTCCATCGTTTTATGAGAATATGCGTCTATTGAGAAGATTTCGGGATTGATCTCCCTAGCCACGTGGAATCCCAACTGCCATGGTTCAATCAGAGGCTCCCATGCAGATTTCGAGAAGTTGTACACGTTGACGAAGGTGTCAAAGCTCGTATCGGCATTCAGTGTTGTGGACCAGTCGCGGACATCAACATTAAACTTCTTAACACTCCAATCGAGCAATGGAAGGTCATGGAGATCGCCGATAAGAATGACTCTGAGCCCGTCGACTTGAGCATTTAGCT